TGATCTGTTCCATAACCTTGCCCGGAACCAGCCTGGTCAGGCTGACAGGCCTGTAGTTCCCCGGATTGTCTTTCCAACCCTTCTTGTAGATGGGCGTTACATTTGCTAGTTTCCATTCTGTTGGACCTTCTCCAGTTAACCAGGACTGCTGATTGATGATTACAAGAGGCTTGGCAAGTTCTTTTGCCAGTTCCCTCATTGCCCTGGGGTGAATCTCATCGGGGCCCATAGACTTATGAGACTCTAACTGGCACAGCAACTTGCTAACCATCTCCTCCTGGATTATGGGGGCTACAACTCCTTTAACCAAATTCCCCAGTGCCCTGAAGTCCCTTGTGATTACCCTGGGACTTCTTCCTACAATCTCGTCTCTACCCACCTGGAATACTAATAGCGGGTAGTAGTCAGAGGGCTGCACCAATTCGGGAAGCTTCCTGGCTACATCCCTTACCTAAGCCCCAGGGAGGCATCAGACTTCCCTGTGGGGTCTGGTCTGCATATTGAGCCCTCTGTTCCCCTCAGCAGGGAGTCACCTACAACAATTACCCTTCTTTTTTCCTTTTCGGAGCTGGTTACAATACATCTGGTTGTCTGTTTCTGCTTAAGTACCCTCCTCGATGGTCCTTCCTCTAGATCATTGTTTTCCTGGCTCTCAGTTTCCAGAGCCTCATACCTATTCTGTAGGGGCACATGGGGAGGGATTATTTACGGAGGATTATTACAGGTAAAATGTAAAATAAGACCTCCCGTGGGATTATCAATCAGATTAGCTTTTTGATTAATTCAGGATCTCTGTTACTGTACTGCATGGTCTCTGCCTGTGAATTCTCTACTACCTGTACCTTACCTAAGAGCTGCACATTTCTATTTTCAAGAGGACCGTGTGCAGTTATTTTCTTTAAGTCTTTCTATGCAGTTTTATGCTTCCCAGTTTGCTAAATTCTAAACACATATTAAGGGGACATAAGATTTGAGTAGTACCAAATCTAGTTTGTAAGGGCAACAGTTCTAGGAACAGACATTGTTGGAAATCTTGCTTCTGTGTTTTTCATGGTTTTCAATAAACTTCCAAATAAAACTCACATTTCTTTTATCATTCTGTGGAAATCCCAGACATTTGACCAGAGAAATTAAGAGCTTTACTCATTTTGAGAACCATCTTATTTGTAAGTAATCCCAGTAGCGCACATAAAGTGTGCTAATGAAGTGTTACTAAGCACATAATGCAGCATCTAACATTTGGATAACACCACATGACTAAATGCCAGTCATTCTAACCATTTTTAAGTCTTCTTTCTTCATTCTAAGTTACTTTTCTTAGAAAACGCTATATTCAACAACTAAATTCTATTATATGCACATATAAACACGCCATTGCTGTCATGATTTTGAAAACATAATTCTACTTTGCATGTCAGTTTACGTTTGCAGATCATGCGTTCTGTTCTAAAGGGAAGATCTGTTAATCTGTATTGTTGGGTTTTCATAGTGTTGAAATGAGACATCGCAATATACAAGGTTGCCTTACTTAGCTTTAGTTTAGGGGACGCAACATCATCATCTTCAGCTAGGGGTCCCAGTTCTTTCCTTTTTTCTTTAAGGATCTTTTCCAGCATATGGGCATCATTGTATACCTATTAATCAGTATAGTAATCAAAAAACAAAATAAAACAAGGTATACCATGTTTAGCCTAGTTTAGAACTAGCCCCCAAGAAACATTTAAATGTTAGTTTGAAAAAGCTGAAAGCAAAACCAAGTACTCGATTAAAAAGAAGGGCTTATTTCTCAAATGTACACCTTTAATAGACTTCTACAAGTAAGCACAACTGATGGACATCATTTAATCAGGGAGATAGAAATCTTGAATAAATTATCCAATTAAGCTGCATTTCTATTCCAAAGACTACAAAACTGCAAGGTGCAGTTATATTATCAACTTCCTCACCAAACCATTCTGCTGAGCAATGAAAGATCTCTTGAACCATTGTGATTCCATCAAAGTACACAGGACTAGAACAGTCCTCCTGGGTCTTCAAATCCAACCCCAGTGAATGCAACCTCATCATAAAGTCCTGTACAGCAGTTGATCCAAGTTCCTCATTAGAAATAGCTGGAGGTTTCTTACCACTGCTCTGTTCCACAACATTATGTTTGCTGGCTGAGAAACATCACAATATAAAAACACCCTACAATATATTTGTAAATTAAAAGCATATTCCTTTCAGACCCCTTTTCCTAGGCTAGACAAGTCCGGTCTTCTAGTCTGATCTCCCACACCCTCCACTTCCATGAAAACAAAGCTGGTTTCTTTCCAACTAAGACATCCCTTCTCAGAGGTTGAGAGCTCCAAATCACACGCTGATGACCATTCACTGTGCAAATACCTTCATGAGATTAACTGAGGATGAATAATGAGAATTCAGTAACCAGCTCATTTTTTTTAAAAACATACTAGGAAATATTCAGCAGACATTCTTTGTAGTGGAGGAACAAGTTTAGCTAACAGGAAATAAGTCTAACCTTTGCAAAGGAGTCTGTTACATTTCATGTTTATACAACTACAGATGAAGACAGAATTTAAAACATCAGCAGAAAGAAAAAGTTGTCTTTCCATTTTAGTTCAATAAACAATTATCATAAATAATGTGAGTAATACTCAAAGTTAAAGCATCCTAACATAACTTATATGTCTGTAAAGAAGCAGAGAGGTAAGTGTGACTGCAGAATCAAAACAGTACCTGGGAGCCTTCCTCATTATAATGCCTTGCATTTCGGAACATGAGCTTCATGTCTTCAATCATGGCTTCTTCCCCTACATACTTATCATTGCGGATGTTGTGTTCTATCATTTTCAAGTCCATTGGCTCCAAGATAATTTTATAATAGTCTGGATAGTCCTTTTTGGATGGCTTAACCATAAACAAATCACAGAGCCGTCTGCCTGTGCCCGGTTCTCGAGCTTCCAGAACCGCATTGTATAAGATCTTCATTCGTTGCTTTCGTATATTCTTTTTACTGTTAGGTTAAGGAGAACAAAAAGAAAAAGAATAAATGTCAGGGGCTCTTTTCCCCACTTCCAACACTAATATCAAAATGATATTATCCTTTACCATGAGGAAACAACCACAACCACCTAAACACATACACACACAAGTTCAACATTAAGACAGTGTACTACAAACATGGGCCCATTTGCAAATAATGACAGCATCATAACCAGCAGTCTGCTAAGTAAACAGGAAACCAACTTTAAGATATGATTTTTCTCTCATTCACCTTAAGTGTTCTACAGAATAAAGCAAATAAGTAGTTTTCACAAGTGCAAAGGTCAAAAGGAGCTCTAAGCACTTTCTAGCTGCAGAGAAAGTCAGGACTAGGTATCTGAATCCAAGACCTTCAAGATCTAGTGCAAACAGGGAAAAACTCTTCAGCCAGCATCTTCATGACTACCTCTGCTGAATACAGAATATCAAAGACTTGAGTTATTTATCTCAGAGTAATTCTGTATCTTCTTCGGTACCAGATACAAGAAAATAAGGACATCAAGAATGTAGTAGAAAGAAGGGTCTGAATTGCTTAGATATCTGTCAACCACAGTCAAATGAAGTTATAAGTCATTAAAGCTCACCAAAATTGCATACCCAGGTAGAAAATGGCCACGTACATGCTATCACTACAAACTTTATAGTCATCCTATGTGTAGCTATTATGGTTGTCTGAAGAAATCTGACAGCACAACCAAGACACAGCTTATCAGGAAAAGTTATGCATGGCTCCCTGGACATATACTAGATGATCTATAAGCAAATTAGATAAGGCAGAGGAAAGCGTATGTTAATAATGTATAATCCCAGCGCAGATACCATGGCACTCTTAGAAATCCACTCTCTACAAAGTGCTTTTAAACCAACTTCCAAGACTTATTCAAGTAGTTATAACCTTGACTATATTATCTGTAAAGATAACAACAACAAAAACTATCTTCATTTGCAGAATGTGGAAAACATCACTGTACAACTTGCTAGAAACCAAACTGCATCACAGATTTTCCGTCATCTGGACCTTTTTCTCCTACGTTTAAAATATACCTAATCCAGCACAGCCTTATGCCCCTCAGATACCTCTTGCTCCTTGGTGAGGTCAGCAAAATAACTAATGAAAACTAATGTCACAACATGTGAGAAAATTCAAAATGTATCTTCTATAGGTTAAAAAGTTTTTTCTGCATAATCTTCACTGCTGGAAACAGTGGTTCACACTAGCAGGTGAGCAATGCCAGAACAGCTTCTGAATTCCTCATTTTAACATGTTTCCAAGTTTTAACATTTAGTTCAATGAAAGTAGACAAAGAAAACCAAAACAGAAATAGCAATAGGCCTGCCAATACTCAAGATTCAGGCCATGCATCTGATACATAAAAGAGGGCATTCAAACAACTTTCTTCTGTGTCACTATTATTTTCCAAACGAGATGAATTTCGCCTGGGCTATTAATTTCCTTTTTCAGCAACACTTTGGAATTCCACTCAATGCTTCACTTCTGCTATCAGCAGCATTCACAATCTTCTTTTACTTCCTATCATTCAGCAATTGAAACTGATAACAAGTATTGAACTGACAACATCAAAAGCATTTTCAGGTTCTCTTCAGGCATGAAGAAAATAAAATCATTTTGATTTCCCTTACCTATGAACATAACTTTTTCCTCTTTTACTGTTCTTAGATGACAAAGCCTGACAGATTTTTTCTTTTAAACATTTCAGTACGCTCTTGCACAAGGTGATCAAAAGTAACATAGGGTTAAAAGGACACTGATGACAATTTGACTTGCTTGATCAGGTTAGTACTTCTCCTTGAATCTGAAGATCACAAAACTAGCAATTTTTGCAATTTGTTCTCTCCTGATCTTCATTTGGTACTGTAGTCTGTCTTACCATTCCACGATGCTGCTTCTTCCTAGCATCCCTAGACTATACCACCTCCTAAATCCATGTTAATATTTTCTCTCTGCAGATTTTTAGGAGTTTACATTGTTGTGCTTACTTGATTGCTCATAAGTGAATCTTTGCTGATGTTCTATTTCATTCTCTTCCTCCCCCCACAACTGCTGTTGTTTTGACAAAACAAAGAACTAAAAATACAGGAAGCTGAAGGTCATAAGCAACACCAAAGAAAGATGCTGAATTACAGTTTTACACTCGCAGTTGCTACTATCGCAGTAAGTTGGAATTTATTTCAAATGATACCATGAAGCAGACTAGAGAAACTATCCCTTGTTGGAGCGAAATGCATCACTAATATTAATTACACAACAGCTATCACTGTTAGAGAATATTTTCCCTAAACCATTATTATTGCTCACTAAAAGGGTATATTTTAAATCATTGTGAAATGTGTTTATGTTACAGTATCCAGAGTAATCAACCTATTATAATCAGCTTATCTATTTGTCAGATATTCTCTTCGGCCCAGTTGCTGACAGGTAAGTAACCGAAGAGTGCAAATTCAGAAGGAAGAGAGCTGGAGTCCTCTAACATTAATAATGAAAACTCCTCAAGCAGAGTTCAGGTCATAGAAAATGAAAATGTTTATGTCAGGAGACTTCACTGGATAAAAATACTTGTAGAGTTATACTACAAACTTCCAAAAAAATTATTCAACTATAGTGTTAACTTTAATCATATTCTGAAATTGCTACCCAAACTACACAAATAGTCATATATTGGAGAAATAGCAGAAAAGAAGCAGTAATTGCTAACCACCTGTGCAGAGAATCCACACACCAGGCTAAAAAAAAGCAAAACACAAATAAAAATCCTGAAATCCACATGCAACTACAGTGTCCATGCCACTTACTGAAGTTATGTTGACAACTGCCAACTAACAGGCCCAAAAAGGAAAATAAAGTCAGCAAACAGTTTTGAATTAATTAGAACCAACACTTAATGAGGTTAAATTTCAGAATTACAACACTTATACAAATGCTAAAAACCATGGCTTAATATTTTCTTTAACAAATTAAAGATGTAGCAATCTCATGGTCTGCAGGAACTACAGAAGTGCATACCTTTTCCTTTTTGAGCTTCCAGTATCAGATGTAGCAGAAGAAATCATACTGTCCCCATCCTCAATGTCATCTCTCCTAGCAAGTTCCTTCTTCTTTGCCTGAAAAAAAAAAAACAAGTCCCTGAAGCCAAACTCACTGCTGGACGTTTCCAGAACAGTATTAAACATCAGAACAGACCACATGCACAAAGAAAGATTCAACTATGGGTTTTGAGACTAAACTACCATCAAAAATTTTCAGGAACCGATTTGAAAATAATGCCATTTCAGACTGCAGCACTTAGCTGGAACACTTAATGAAATTTGAAGTGTTTTAGCATCCTCCAATTACCTGAAAACACCAAAAAAAAAAAACACCCCAAAACCGCACATCATAAATTTTCCCACAACTTATTTAAGTTAAGAGTTACAGTAAGGAATAAAAGTGACCAAAAGAAATCACAGAAGGCAGCAGATGTCCTGAAGAAAAATCACCCTATGATGTTCTTCATTCTCATACTTTCCCCTAAGCAACAAAACAGTACTGCAAATATAGGTCTAGTTAAAAAATTATTTTGGAAAAATACTCATTAGGGAAATAAATTCACATGTGAAGTTACATCCTTTTGATTGTCCTAGTCCATATACCTGCATAACCTGCTGCATTTTCAGTACCCTCTTATAGATGGCAGAATTGGGAACATTGTAGCGCTTGGCATTTTCAAACATTAAGTTCAGATCAGCCTCCAACTGATCTAAAGTTTCATATTCATGGTTCTTCAGTTTGGTTCTGCAAAAGAGAAATACCAATCAGATTATTTCGCAAGTTACACACCCGCTTGTTGATTGGTGCTACCCGCAAAGTGAGTGTACCTCACGTGAAAATAGTTAAGAAAGGACTAATGACAAAAAAAGGTCATTTTTCACATGCTACACAGATGAATCAGTGCACTAAGTCTGCCAGTAACTTAATGTATTTTCTCATATTTCCTTGCAGAAGTGGTGAAAGTTCTAGCCAACTTTTTTAAACGTTCCAACGTCTCGTTAAACACAACAGAAAATAGTAATCTGCAACAACACAAAAAACAAACCCTATCACAACTGCAAAATGCAGTCATCCTCCTTCGTATCTCCTTCCTTACCCACCTGCCTGCCACATCCACCAGTTCTGCACCATCTTTAAACCTAGTCTGGTTTATATAGCCCCTAGCTGAATGCGAACCTGCCCGATGGAGCGTTAAGCACTACCACAATATAAATTTCATATAATATCTTTTAGTCCCAAACCTTACCTGCCAATGTGACCTTACAGCTGAACCAGCAAACAAAGAGTAACAATGCTCAGCTTGTGTTAAACAGGACTCTTCACTGGTCAGTCAAGGATGCAGAAGTCATGGTTGGAAAATATGTGGCACAGAGCTGAAACTGCTATAAAAACTACCAAGTAGTACACATTTGTCTATAAAGCTGTCATGATAGAAATGCGTTTTGCAGGAAACATCCAACTAACCGCATGTTGCCAGGATGGCAGCTGTATGCCCCTTACTGAAATGTAGCATATTTCTTTTTAATTGCTTTCAGATCTGAAGAACTAGTGTGTGCTCAATGACTAAGAGAAAAGCAAAAAACAGTTTTGGACAAATATCCTAAATGTCAGATGTGGAGAAAATTACTTGTTGCCGTTCTCATTGAAAGTGAACCATTTTAGGTTCATGTATCTTTTTTAAGACTTTAAGACATCAGTATCTTGCGAATCTTTATGCATTATTTTTTAGATTATTTTCAGTGTTTCCATCTGAAGCAACAGATAATTAAACAGTTTCGCTGTCAGCTTCACTCACTCTGCAATTCCAAAAAAAGGAGAGTTACTAATCTGATTTTCATTAATTAGTAAAAAATACAAATAATAATAATAAAAACCACAAACACAGACCACCACCACCCTGCCTCAAGCAAAACAGTTTGGGTATCAATTAAACTGCCACAAAGAAAAGGCAAAGTCAGCTCCCATTTCTATCTTGTAAAACTCCAGCAACAGTTACTTGCGTATACTAAGGAGTATGTGATTGGTATTAAAAAAGTCAAAAGCAAAATAAAAAGCCAATAAAATTCAGGATTATTTTGCCCTAACCCACTAGCATATGATGGATAGGCTCATAAATACTGAGGATGTAAACACCGAGTCTGCTTCATGCTCTTGCCACCATCTGGTAACAAACACTACCACACCACCTTACAACTTCTCCAGCTAATCTGAACACTCTCTGGTACTGAAAGCAAAGTCTATAGAGTAAAATGTATGTAATTAATTCTTGTAGTCCAACAAAATATTGACAAGTAATTACAGGAATTCAGCACACAAACACTTGTTGGGGTTACCAAAGCTAACACATCATTAAGAGAACACTCAAGAAAATGTGGAGTAGAAAGGCTTAAAAAACTTGCATCAAAAAAACTCAACTAATAAGCTTGTATTTATCAAAACCATAAAAAGTTAGTTTTATTTTTTTCAAAACAGAATTATTTAAGAACATTCTAATTTGTCAAGGTACACTGAGTAATTAAATATGTAAACAAGCAGTAATTTCCTTGTTTACTGATGTTATTACAGATGTTTATAAAATAAATTCAAACTTTCAAAGCATTAATGGAAAACAAAAATAACATCTGAAGGCAATTCTGCATCTTAGAAACAAGTACCCAAGTCAGCTAAACTACTTTAGAGATTAAGAACATTTAAAAAAAAAAAAAAAAAAAAAATCAAAAAGCAAGTCCTGTGTAGAAACCAATTAAGGAGCAGCACTGGAGCAAAATGCTGACCAGACTTCTTTCTCTCCTTCTTTCTCTCCTTGGATGTAGACAGCATCAGCATACTTTGTTTCCACGTGAACACTCATACTGAAAAATTTGCAGAATTAGGCTCTAACTAAGGATCTAATAAAGTGAAGACTACCACAACTGCCTCAGATTTGAGTATTAAATACCTAAGCCAAATATCTAAAATGTCCCAATGCTTTTTACTGATAAAGACAACTAACTGCTGGAGGACAAGGAATCATGCTCCAGAAATCATAACAACCAAGCTGGGATAAAGTCCTCTCAGATCTACTCTGCAGTTCATCCTCTTGCGAGTAAGCAAGTCTGCCTGCAACATTCCTCCTTTTCAACTCCTGGCTCAAAATTTGCTTAAACATTAGTAGCATGTAGTTTATAAACACTCTTGTGTGACTCTGGTATGTTTGCTTTCTTCCAGAGAACTAAAACAAGTTTTGAGAGACTGGATAGCAGGAAGAATAGAAACTGTAGAAGCTTCTAGTCTTCCGATTAATTTACTAAATTAGAATGACAGAATTGCAAGTTCATATTTCAATTGCTGTTGCATGAGGTCTGGATTCAGCTTTCTGAAAGAGTAACCTAAAGGACTACATCTTAATTGAAGTACCACTTCTCCAGTTCAAATTGTTTCTCCCTGCTACCACTTGGTACTACTCCTCTTTATTTGGAGTTGTTCTGTACCCAACTTAAGGCTGCCCTGAAAGAATCACTGAAGGTCTAGGATTAGACTGACTAAAAAAAAAAATCAACCACCATCCTCCTGAGATATTAAAGCCAATAGACAACTCTATATCCTTAACACCTGTAAGTTCAGAATCTATGAAGTAACACTGTCAGTGTGATACTATAAATTAGATTTACTGATTAGTAACATATCCTGATTAATCAAATTCTGTATGTGTAGGTGTCAGTTTTATCAAACTGAGGAAAGCAGGAATTTGCCATATCCTTTGAAGCAGAATAAATTCAAAGCAAGCTGCAGGCAGAACAAGCAAGGCAATAGTGTTTCCTAGGGAATACAACCTGCCTGCAACAATGTTCTTTTTACAAAACCAGAATTCTAAATTGATCCTGTGAGATTTCATGATTTGGTAAAAGAAACTGCTGACTCTTCATCTCAGCAGATCCCAACCCGTTTGACACTAACAAATCTGGGATTTGCTTTACCTCTCCTCCCAGAGACAGACAGGCAGCTCATGCAGACCCCAGAACACCACTATCACATGCTTCATCTAAAAATATATCACTTATTCCACATAGCCTTGGTATTCCACACTAGCTTCATCTGTGTATTTAGGCAGTGACCTATGCACATTACAATGCAGCAGTCTAACCCTGAAGCACCAAAAGGCAGAAAAAACATATGACGTTGCCATTAGTCTTAAATATACCATTCTATGTGCACTGATTCTCTGCGCTCTTGTGACTCTGCAGAAACAAAATCTTTAAGCTGATGGAAAAGGTGAGGACCCTGACAGTAGCTCACAAGCAAAGAAGAGCAGCTTAATTATATCGTACTCCTTTAAATCTTAACCTAGAGCCAGAAGACAAGAGGAAGAAGAATCACAGAATCATAGATTGGTTTGGCTGGAAGGGATTAAAGATCATCTAGTTCCAATCGCTCTGCCATGGGCAGGGACACCTTCCACTAGACCAGGCTGCTCTGCTCAAAGCCCCATCCAACCTGGCCTTGAATACTTCCAGGGATGGGGCATCCACAACTTCTCTGGGCAACCTGTTCCAGCACCTCATCACCTTCACAGTGAAGAATTTCTTCCTTACATCTAATCTAAATCTATCCTCTTTCAGTTTAAAGCCACTGCCCCTTGTCCTATCACTACATGCACTTGTAAAAAAGGAAACATTGTCTTAAAAAGCAAGGATGAGCTATCATTCAAATTATCTTACCAGGAAATAAAATCTTGCTTCTATCAGCACTTGTTTATCCACAACCAAATAATCAAGGTGCAGGCCATCTGATTTTTAAGCAAACAACCTACATTCACAGTTGTATTCATGAAAGGCCTGAACGAAAGTAAAAATCAAGACTTAGCCCATATGTTTGGAAAGACAGACAACTTCCAACCTCACATATGAAGAATGAAAAATGCATAGGCACAAAAGTAATCCCGTTCTAGTCTGCAAATAACCTTGTACCTTACCATCCTCTTCAATGCACTTGGTGTCAGCAAACAATAGGATGGTTAATTAAGAAGGTTATTCACAGAAGTACTTTGAACAGAGTTAATTAAACTCAGCATAACTCAAGTATCATGCCTTTTCTGGATTTAGAGCATGAAATGCTGCTTCACAATAAATTTTTAAAAAGCCATCTCACCAATCTTGGAAGTAAAGACTTTTATAAATATCAGTTTATTTTGCAAAAAGAGGCTAAGACTAACCGAATCCAAGGCTCTACAGAAAGTCACTGCCTGTGTAATACAAACTAAATTTATACACTAGAAACCAAGAGAAATTTGTGTGAAATGATTGTCAGTGATACAATTGTACCCAAAAGCATGAGTAAAACTTGGAGGAATATCCTTTTAAACATGATAACCTTTTCAAAATGAGGAAAAAAATAGTTTAAAAGGTAGGTTACAGATTCGTAAGGCCCCTAAGCCCAAAATAACACTGACATGACATTTAATTTGGTCAAAATCAGCATAGCAATTAAAAAATCATACAGTAAGCTGGCACTCAACTCCCTCAAAGGTCTACTGGAAACTCATCAACCCCTCCAGGTCGAGTATCTGAAAGAACTGAAGACAAAAGTGATACTCTTTCCATATAATCAAAAATCCATCTTATTAGACACACACTACGCCAAAAAAATTCCTAGAAAAAAATTCAAACACATGGCTAAAAACAGTTATCATGTAACTTAGTTTTTTTTTATTCAGAAATTGTGAAGTGCTAGTCCTGCCTCTTTAGGGAAAAAAAAAAAACAGTAACAAAGAATGCATGCGATCAAAATAGGCATTTGACAAATGTCCTACTGAGGAATGACAGTCATCTTTTTATACAGTACATCAGAATGTTGTTTACTTGAAGTTGTGATTTATAAAGGCCTTAATGTACACTATGCACTGAAAGTACTTGCTAAGGTAGGAAAATTGGTTATACAGACAGAAGATTTTTTAAATGTACAATATTCAAGAAATATTAAGTTACATTAAGTGAAAAAAAGAAATGAAAGAACTGATAAATTTTAGATTAAGTGAAAATTTACAAGGTATTCTAAATATTACAGAGACATAATTTTCTCTGTAAAGAATATTTTCCCAATTGGCTCATTCATAAATTAAACAAACTGAAACATAGTGACATATTATTTTTCCAAAGTTAATGTAATAATAAAATCTTACTGTAAATTTTATTTTTTTTTTAAAATTAAGAACTTAATTTGTAATGGGCTTAAGCTCTGTTATTTAAAAAAAGAAAGGAAAAAAAAAGTTCTCTATAAACTATTCAGGCTTTAACCCAGACAGCAGTCTCCATTACTTCAAGATAAATTCCACTCCTTTATTTGCCATATTACCTGAAGTGGTTAAATTATACGGCAAAATATGCTTGATCACATGATCATATTTACTGTAAGTTCAACTCAAATAATAATTAATCCAAAGGCAACAAGAGCCACCACAAATCTCACAGCTTCAGGAGAACCTCAACACATCTCAGTGCAGTGAAATGTAACACTTAAGATTCCTCTGTCACAGATCATTGTCCAAAAGGATGCATGTTCATAAGAAAAATGCATTTTAAATCCTCAAATAGTAGACATCACACAAAACCAACCGTGTTTTACACTAGATCCTTGCACTTTTTAAGCCTCAACTGTAACCCCAGCTTTCTGGAGCGCAAGACACCGAGATGTGCCAATGAAGATACCGATTTCAGTGCCTGTGCACCCACATCGCTCTCACACGTGTTTTATGCAGGCACTGTTGCCAGGGAATTCCCTGGAGCGCTTCCCTCCTCTGCTGTAGAAAAGTCTGACCCACTTGCCTTAGGGATCATACTTACCAACGCTGTAAAATTTAATAAGGAACACAGTTGTTCTAAGCATGCCAGGATCTAGCACTTACGTACCGGGTAACTGAGCACATTCTCCTGCATAATTTCCCAACTATTCCTCCAGCCATTTATAATTACAGAATGACTTTTCACCAGCAATGTTAAGTTTGCAAAGTAACCTCCACACCATGCACTTTCACCACACCTGAAAGTCACAGCCTTCACTGTGTCAGGCCTTTCTTTTTAAATAGGATAATTCTTGTTCTACCGCTCTGAGTTTTGTCCTGTTTGAGGCAAGGGAGTCTCAAAAGTGTGTGTATGAACACCTGGGGGAAGGAATGACGAGGGAGCCAGACTCACATCAGTTGTGCCTACTGACAGGGCAACAGGTAAGGGAAACAAATTGAAACACATTAAATTTCACCTGAACATTAAAAAAAAACCAAAACAACCCATGCTTTTTTTTTTTTTTACTGTGAGGGTGGTCAAAGACTGGCACTGGTTGTCCAGGGAGGTTGTGGAGTCTCCGTCTGTGAAGACACTCAAAACCTGACTGGATATAGTCCTAGTCAATTGGCTCTGGGTCACGCTGCTATAGCCAGGGGCTGGACTGGATGGTCTCCCTTCTGACCTCACCTATCCTGTGATTCTGTAAAAAGCAAGTCATGAGGAAACTAGCAGAAAACTAAAGCCATCAGCAGGATTACCTCCCACATCCAGGAACAGCTTGGGATCAGCCCTCAGCTTAAATGACTGAGGTTGATAATGCTCATAAAGTGACTGAGAGGCAGGGATAGGTATAACGTACATCTCATTAAAACAAAACATACCCATACTCTCCCTCTAGAAATCATATATTACTTTGTAAGGTTTTTCCTGCATTTAACACACCCAAACTCCTGAAATATGACTAACTGTAAAATTTGCAACAGTCACACATTTCACAGTTCATTCTGGCAGGATAGCCTAGGTAGCCAGATGCCAAAGTGAAACAGTTACGAGACAGTAATGCCAAGCTTTAGTCCAACATCTTCAACTTTGCACTAGGACAATTAACTTTTCTGTCCCCATCTGCGAACAGAAGGCATGTACATCTCAAAAAAAACCCAAAAACACATAACACAAAAAAACCCATCACCAACAGAGAAAAAACCCCCACAAAAAAAATCCACCCCTAATGAGTGCCAGTTTTGAATACCTAAAGACGTATTTGCAGTATCAGTAAAACCATGCTAGCTTCAGTTTTCCTTAAAGCACATCAATTAAGTACACATATGCATGACTTCAAAGCTTTTCAGGTATAGTAAGAAGTTAAGATTATGTGGTAATTTAAAGAACCGGTGAGTTTCAGAATTTGCTAAAAGAATTTAGACTATTATAAATAGTGCACTTTAACTTGTGAGCTACAAACACTATTTCTAAAAAGACTGACTGTCCCTTTTTATTTTCTAAGTTCCGAGGCAACAGGGTAAGTCATTTTTTTCTACAGTCCTTCATATATTTGCATGCAATTTCTGTACTACTCACATAGCCAGATGTGACCTGCCTACACTGTAAGGAAAGCAGAAACACAACTGTCTCCCTATGGCAAATTATTAGTCCTATAACTGGTATCAAGTATATTTTTAATGGAAGGCCTCTCCCAATTAAATCTGTTTATACATAATTTGAGCATATACTCTTTGATACGTTCAGACAAAAAGCTTTCTAACAACTGTCAATGACTTTTCTCAATTTCACCCTTTTTTTTTTCCCCATCAAGTACATTTTGTGTTTCGTTCAAGACAAGACATTTTCTTTGCCAAGCCAACGGCTGTACTAAGACATAAGAAAAAAATGCTTTAAAGTCACTGATGGATAGATAACCAGTGTGGCAGCTCCATACTCATTCCCCAGGACATGCAAAATGCCCTCTAACAGGTTAAAATAAAAATAAAAATAATTTTAAAAAAGCAGCTTTGTTACTTTCTGATTTAACAAAGACACTGCTTATTCAACAATTATACCAAGTCTAGCAGATCATATTATGGTATAACTACAATTTACAGACCTATGTATTAGAGTGGTTTACAAACACATGAACAGTGTTAGGGTCCAGTCCCTCACTCACTAAAGCTGGAGGACCAGGACTCCTGCAGTGTAGCTCAGGCAGGGACTGGAGCCCCAGTGGCCACTGGGCAGGAGGCCAGGGCCACTCAAGGCTGGTCAGTGCCATTAAGGTCTACTAATGCACTCACAACCCTGACATATATCCATCATATTAGCTTATCTTGGATCACTAAAGAAAGATATTGTTCACTTCTTTTCACTCTGGTTTTAAATGTGACAACTGTGCTCCAACTGTGCTCTGGCAGCTGATGGCTCACAGATTTACAAATGGTGTACTGCTTTGCTTACTTCAGTCCATACTAGCTACATCTTGAATGAAAATAATTATTCTCCACAGTTATACTGGGACCTAGACAAAAGGAACACAATTGCAACTATCTTTCTACAATTCACATTGCTAAAGACTATTAATTTAAAAAACATGGCAGTAAGAGGTAACCAAGCCATCAGGGTCAAGGAAAGAGAATAACAGGGACAGTTCATTTCTGTTGCCCACCTAGCCTTCAGAATTATTGATATGGCAACCTTTCGGGCACATTACAAATGAAACTCCATGGAAAATAAACTCAATGGCAGCCATCTATAAAAGATGATCAAAAGACTGATGCAGACTGAGCTGAAACATGAAGCAACCAAACGTAGAGGAAAGATGGTATACACTGCATTAGGTATCAACAATTTGACCACAAGAGAGGATTCTGGAAATAAAAGAAAACCTTAAATAGTTTCCCACCAGATGTAGTTTGCATTCTGTTTTCTTACCTGATCTGCTGCAATGAAATAGGTGCTTTAATTTGCTGATAATAATCAGGATATTTTTTCTTGGAGGGTAAGTGGAAAAAGGGTTCAGATATGAGCTGGCCCTGATTATTTCGGCAACTTCTAACTGTGTCATAAAGCTGATAAAGAGGATTAGAAGTATCCATGAAGGAAGTAATGCTCTCGGCTTCGGATTCTCCCTCTTCATAACGAGCAGCAGCTGCACAAAGAGAAAGGAAAAATGGGAAACTCAGCAGGACAACTCAGAGTGGGTTTTTTAGTTGACTTTTCAAATGGATAAAGATCTAAACCAGAATAAAAGGTAGTCCCTCAATTGAGGGTGTTCAGCCACTCTCTGGCAGTCAGATTCATACCTCAGAAAAGGACATCATAAATACATCTTATGAGGCTCAAGCCAACAAAAAAAGCACTTTATCTAGATATTGCAATCTCTCTTATCAGATGAGATTTCAGTTCTGGCACCGGTAATACACCCTCGCCACCTACAAGTGCTGAAAAGTCTTCATATATGAGACTATATAACAGGACTGACTATTCAACCACACACTACCCATAACACAGCTATGTCCTTATTTAACCATTAAACCATTAATTAATACTAGTATTTGTGCCAAATACATTTGTATACTGAACTACTGCCATTCTGCTATCTGACAAGAGCTCCCTACAAGAATAAAAATTGACAAACCATGTCTGGAATTTTCAAAGGTGCGTAGCCAGTTAAGCAAAATGGCCAAATTAAAAATTAATTTTTGCATATACATCAAAAAGGTGACTTCAAAACTTCTATAATCCTTTAGACGATATTAATCACAGCTCAAATAAAAAATTGTGAAGTTTAGCAGAAAAAACTGACTCTGAAGCCTGAAGGTGCACCTCTAATATATGCAGCAAAATGAAGGAGAAAACATATCTTAGAATTACTATATAATTAGCATAAACGTGTCAGAATAAAGTATTTACAAATTTTATTGCAAACTTTTCTAGTTCTCTGTATGAAGCATACATTATGCTTCAGGATTAAGACAAATTAAAGAAATGCTATGAAGAACTAACACTTACTGCAGATAAAATTAGGAAAAACATTACAGGAGCAACAGAAACACAACATGAATGACAAAACACTGGTAGGGGAAATATAGGATGGGAAGCAATAAATGGTCAATCCTTCCATGCTTCTCAGTAACACAAACGGGGTAATTTGTACCTTGCAAACAGGCATAACGTAAAATCTTTGTGGTTTTGCACATACTAGAGTTAAATTATTCACCCTTTTTTACCTCTTATGAGTTAAAGTTTGAAGGAAAGCTTGGCAGACGACACACTGGGTAATTCAGTTACACAAAAGACAGTTCTCTAACACTCATGCCAAGTTTCCAGCTGGCATTTTCATTATTGCTCAGTGGAGGCTGGCAATGTTTCAAGCTTTCTATCCAAGTTCAGTAAAAACATACTGAAATGATGACAAAGCCAAGGGACACTCTGACTGCATAACAACATAGTACTATCCTTTTTCCTCTGCAGTCTGACATTGCAGATCTATGCAAGTGTACGACCTATGGGACCTACCAGACAAGCTAGATGCAAGCTAAAACACAAGCAGACGTCAGTAGATGTGCAAACACATAACAAAGATGTTCATTACTGATTCAGGGAAGACACTCAAAATTATTCTAATTATGTATCTGTATGCCAATCAGTATCACTTAATGGCCTAGCATCTACTACACAGTAGCCAGCAAAGCATCAGCTGGACAGAATAACTCAAGTAAAACAAAAGATTGGAGGCAGCACTATGTTTCCCTTACCTAACATACCAATCTGAACATGAAGATAAACGTTAACAGCTAAGAGAATGCTATCAGGTAAAGTAAGTTTCCAAACAGACTATGCAGCAAAATACTGCCTTTGGTTTTGTTGACTCACACAGTTCAGTTCTTAGTGCTTCATCAAAAAGTAAGAAACAGAATAGAAAAAGCAGAACTTGTTTTTATGAAAGAGAAAAAAAAAGAAACTAGTCAAATATATTGCTGTTCTCTGACATGTGGCAGCCAGTAACAAAGCAGTTCAATACCCTAAATAAGAAATGTACTTCCTTTGTATTAAAAGTAGAACACAAGGCACTCCCTAAAATAAAAATCTAAGTAAATTAAACAGGCACTAAAAAAAAAAAGTGTTTACATAATATTGTAATACAGCTATAAACATTTTCATTATGATGTGGATGTTCTTTAAAAGCGATGTGTCAAACATTATATATTCTTACATATTCAGAAAATGACAGTGTTCTAACAGGAAACCAGTTATCTTAAGAACCCAAGAATGTATTACTCAGATCAGAAGACAGAAAAATCTGTATTTTGCTATGGAACAAACAATCTAATGTAAAACTATAGATTCTTTAACACTCAAGAGCACCAGCTCCCATATCCCCACCAAGCACACGCTGGCAGTGGAGAGTAACAGTCAGTTATTTCCCTTTCATGCAGCTGTTACCACAACTACAGTTAGCAGATACAGGAAAAAAAAATGCAGTAAACTATAACCACAAAATAATATGCTATGCAACAGTCTCAGACAAAATGTATTTCCTGCTGTTCATTTCATACCACAGTGACTGTTTCCTAATGAAGGAACAGCTTCATAATGAAGTGATGTTAAATTGACTTCACTGCAAAAGGAGGAAGCCATCTAATTTACACCTGGAATTGAGCTTTATTATCAGATATAAATGTATATCTCATACACATGTACTCTTACTCAGTGATGAGGCAGAAAAAGAGTAGAGAGAGAGTATTTGGATATATATGAAAGAAAATTAGTCTTTACTCAGTAAGTGATTTGCTTTAAACACTGTGTCCTTTGTGGTCCCAAAGCACCTAGACAACAACAAATGTTCAAATCTAACTGAAGACAGATGCTAGCAAAATCAAAAGCAGCATCCAGTCTTAAAACATTTCTAAATGAAATAATAATAAATAAAATAGCTTTGTTTACAAAATGAAATACTTATAAATAAGTGATACATAATGACCATCTACACCTGCCCTTACAGATTTCTAATGAGGAGCAAGGGAGCTGCAGAAGCTGCTCATGTCCTAGTACATTTGAGATGGAAATCTTCTACAAGCTCCATCACACCATGACACCCTCTGAAACTGTGAGGATAAACTCCAAGTTGGAAACAGATACTGTTCATTGCTTAGGCAAGTGCTACAATCAAAGAAGCTCATAAAGATTTAGTTCTCTGTATCGAGGAGAAAGTTCTCTTAATGTTCAGTCATGCAGCTTAGTTCTTTTTTATTTTAACAAGTGTTAGAGGAAGGAAAAAAGATGAGATACCAGAGCAACTAATAAAAAGACCACTAGGTTTAAATAAAAATCCTTTTCAGCCAGAGACTGAAAGCATGGCCATGTCCAAGTCATGTGATGGAAGGACAGAAAATCTTGAGGGTGACAGAGATCTGTCAAAAAAAATTGACATTGTCTCTTAGGTGAATACAACAAAGATAGGAGAGCTTCAACAGCAGCAAGGCAAAAATTGCAGATGCGTACGAAAGGCCCCATGAAAATGACAATAATGTCTATAGTAAAGGTGGCACCTGGAAGTGATTATATCATTTCAAGAATTTAAATCACATAAAGACATAAAAAGTTATGTGTTTTTACAGAACTACGATTTGCAAAAATAGCAGCTAACAATCACACTGAACCAAGCTAATAAATACTCCTCACACCTCCCAGAAAGCAGCTGCTCTGAAGCACTAACTGAACTCTGGGCTAAGCAGGAATAAAAATGCTTTTGCTTGCAGCAAGATCTAAAAAATTCTACAGCATATCCATCCACTGGAAAACAGTGGTGAGTACAATTCTATTACTAGGTGTGAAATAAATACCCCCAAAATACATATTGAAGAGATGTATCATTTCACATCAAAGCAGAAATAATGTAAATAAAAAATAAAACAATGGTATACGTACAAAAATCTTTTGGAAACCTGCTCCGAGATGAATGCAAGGAAGTTACTGAGAATGTAACTATCAGAACAGGCTAACTTATAAGACAACCTATAACAATTTATGACCAATAGTGAAATATCTGATCTAATGCATATATTATAGCACATATGCTTATAGTATAATGCTAAAGCATGCTTATTATGAAACTAAGGATGCTATATGAAGGCATGCCTTTTTATGTGCTTTTAACATAAACTTTCAGGCAATATTTCATGACTGCTAGGCTAGACCAGGTATTTCTAAATTGAAGCTCTAACATTTATCTATCCTTATATCTCATATAGATTATCCTCACCTTAAAAAAAACCCAAAAACCTGACAGGTACTTAAAAGACCCAATGGCACAAGAGAGTAAGAGAGAACAAGCCACTGTTGGTGAGATTTCTCTTAAACAACTGCAGCACTGTAATTCTCTTTTACTGCAAGGAGCATCCAATGTCTTCTCCAGTGTCTCCTCTTCTGTTTCATATTAGGAGGAATAAAAACAAGCAACAGCTTCCTAAAGCTTGGATAAGTACACTTGGAAATACATGCACTAAATTCAAAACAAGCAAGCAAGTTTGGCTTACCCTATCTTAGCAGCTGTACATTTATAAATTTGTACTTAGAGGAAACAGGGACTGGATTTAACAGAATTACATACTGAGTTTGGAAACACAGCAAAATATTTTTTAAATAATGGTATTGAACACATCAGGAGCTCTACAGTTTTGCTTATTCCAAACATTTTAATTAAAGAAAATAAATGAGCTGCTTTTCAGTTCCTACCAGCCAAAGCTGCATCCTCATCACTTTCTGATCCATATTGCAACGCCATGGTTATTGCTGATAAACGATCCCCTTGGGCTGACCTTTTGTTACTACAAAAGAGAAAAGTTAAAAAAAAAGGTGCAAAATTTAAAAAAGAAAGAAAAGGTTTATCATGTTAATCATTAAGAGTCACTCAGAGTATGTAAGTAAAGAAGGGAAGCTCATGAGGGTTGCCTGCATTATCAGGAATACAGACGTGACTATGTAAAAGACTGGAGCCCTTAACAAGAGAAACTGTTAACGACCCATGAGTCTGCCTCTATTTTAAGAGGAGGTGCATCAAATTGAAAAACTGGACACACAATCAGAAAGCTAGAGCTCAAGCTAGCTATCTTCTGCCCTATTTTGCATACTTGAGCATTTGAATTATTGGGGGAGAAAGGGGATGATAACAAGTCCCTCTCAATTAATAGCTTTGTTATTTAATCCTGTTTTATAGGGATTTGTTTTCTACAAGGATCTGTCTACACGAAGGAATTCAGCACACTATAAGCTGTACATGCTATCTTCTCCCATTGCCCCATCCCCACCTTAGGCATTTTCAGCACACAGAGTGCCTGTATGCGAAGCAGCTTCCTCTGCTTTCTAGGTGGAATAAATCAGTGTCCACACTGCCTATGGGTCTCAAAGACTTCTTCAGCATCCCTCTTTTCCTCCCTTTTGTCCCAAACCTGGGGCACAGCATTTCATACCTACACTGTAGGCTATGCCTGACAATCTCTGCTTTTTCATGAGGTCAGCTCTTTAGGCACCTCGAGCAATGGGCTCAGCCTTGTCTTGTGGGAGCAAAGTGAAGACTGGGAAAAAGCAGATGGGTTGCTTTACCAACTCTGTAAATGCTGAACCCCTTAAAGACCCTTGCAGCTGCTGTGTTAAACCATGGTTTCAGAGTATACATGCGTGGAATTAGCCAGGAGTAGTACTGTTTCAAGACAGTAACCCAGAGACTGTAGAGATGAGACCTCTGCTAGGTACCAAAATTCTCATCAGATGACTGAAAGAACAAACCAGAAAACCTCCAGTAATCCAGTCTATTCAGCAAGTTTGCCATAAATGTATCGCAAATGCAATGCTTTCTTTTTACAGGTTTCACTGGTTTCCACCATCTACCTCTTAATTATTTAGTCCTACGTATTAGTTCTTTTTAGTCTCCAAATAGAATTTTTGTAGGTTTACAACACATTTCCGTGGTTTTTTTCATCTGCTTTATTTTGTAATGAAGCTTAATGTCGTTCTTCAGAACATTTCTAAGGAAATCATTGCATACACAGTATTTTATGACAGGTGTTTTGAAATGTCCAATATGAAAAACATGGAAGAGTAATTACAGCAAAGTAACTTATTAAATCATACTTAATAGATATTTGAATCTCAAAAGTATTTGAGTCAATATTAAAGAGCACTCTCCACTAAAAAACAAAAAAAAACAACTCCCAAATTTTACTATTTCCATATGATGACGACCCAGCTTTTCCTCCAAGTCCACAATTTACTTACCGATAATATTTGTTAGAAGAATTTCTCTCATCACCAACACTGCCTTTACCCTGTGAGGAAGGACCTGTCAGCTTGGAAGCAGTCAAATTTGATGGATTCCTTAAGGCAGAAGAGACAAGCCAAGGAAAGGGGAAAAAAAGAGGCCCACCTTAGACCCAAGAAAAGATGCAGCAAGGATAAAGCTTTTTACAGAATTACTTGATAGATCAGCCAAAAGGTTCAGAGACAGATTTAAAAATGTTTTAAAGTTAAAAGTAAAGTAATACTAAGATACATTTAGTGCCCCAGCATTAATATCGATTTTGTTTATAAAGTCAGAGGAAGGTAACATTTAGATTGAGGATTAATAGCTATACACACAGCTCAGCCTACAATAGCAGTGAAAGCAGCCAACAAATTGTTCCTTAGCATCCAGATAAAGCTAGTCATACAGATCCAATCATGTTTTATCAATACTTAACAAAAATCACTGTCAAGTTGCTTGACAGTGCATATTGTCAAGCAACTTTATTTTGCCACTTTATTTAAGGGAGGACAGCTAAATGCACCAACAAAGAGCAATTTAGTATGACAAAGGATACAATTAACTCTGCAATAGAAAAGCATGATTTTTGACACAGAGGGAACATGTCTGTAAAACTTAGGTTAGTAGTGTTATGGTGAATTTGAGCCTGATCTACCAATGACAAAGAAAAATAGATGTAAATTCCGAAGAACAATATAGTAAATTAACTTTAAATGAACTTATGGGCATATTTTACCAAAATCAGCAATAGGTAAGGGAGACCTCCCTTTGAGACAATTAAGCAGTTAGGAATTTAAATAAAAAATAATGATTCTGTGATGCAAATTCAGCAGAAAGAAACAAAACAAAGAATAGTGGTTTGAAAAAAAAGCAACCAGTGAAATGCAGAACAGTATGCGAAAGGTTTGGTCTTCATTATACTTTTCTCTCACTCCAAATTTTTCTGCATTCAGCCCAATATTATTGTAGCCTGCTTCAGGCATTACAGATTTATTTTTTTTTTGCCAATCTAGACAAACAAAGAAGGAAGCTGTCAGTTATTCTGACATTCAGATTACTTCAGGATTTGCAGGTCTATTGAGAACACAGTACATAAGAGAATATCTAGAATAAGATAGCCGAGAAGTGAAAATGGGTTGGCAGTGCAAGAGAGGAATTCAACTAACAAATATCAGTGTGATTTATCTGTCATCCCTTCTTACGCAAACAGCTTCATTTTGAAGAAAAACAGTTAAGCTCAAAATTAAACATGACACACATATGTGACATCTTGAGCTTAATCAATGGCCAACACAGTGAGAAAAATAAAGTAAAAATCACAATTTAAATAGAAAACCTCTATGCCTATACATAATTCTAGGTAGGGCAAAGCAAACACGTATGTACATTCAGCATCTGTAGAATCAAGGTCTTCTGGCACTACACATACATTTAAGAAGGAAAATTATTACAATACCTGTCAGGAATTAGTCCCTAACAGTATTTCTGCTTTTATATTTTTATATGCTCCAACAATGATTCACCCAAACATGGGAAGCATGCTAACGCTGAACAAATGAACCAGAAAAACCACTATAGAGGTTGAATGCCTCAAAGCACCAAATAGTAAAAATCAATCAGGTAACTTCCTTTTCTTTCACATGTAATAATCCTAGGCAATACTTTTTAGTACTGACAACATCTATAGATTTTTCAGACAACAAAAAAAATTTAAACTGCCTTTCAGTAAAGTAAGGCAGTGCTAGTGTTTTCAGTTGTACTACACAAACCTTTGCAGGAAATGACAGCAGTTATTTTCCAGCATCAAATACCAGTAAACAGCTCAAATACATAAAGAGAGTCCACCTTGTAAAGAGTTTGCTAACTCCTTGGATGACTTGCAAGACATTGCTTTATTTTTTTAGATAAATGACACAGCTCATATTGGCAAGTAATATCTAAACCTACTTTTGAGTGTTACTCATAAGTAAGAAGTTTCTATGAGAAGAAATCTAATTGCATTTCGGATAAGAAACATCTAAAAGGACTGCATCACTTCTCCGTACGCTATGGATTTTCACAGGAAGAAAATGCTGTTTCCTAAATAAAATTATTCCATGAAACAAATAGAGCTATCAACAGTGTTTACACCTGCCTGTTCAAGACCAAATCTATGCTTCACTGATTAGTAAGTCCAGATCTTCAGTGTCCTGTGCCTCTTTTCATAGCTAGAAATTGGTTTTCAAACAAGAGTTCATATAATGTGGACTTCCTTCTAAATATCTTTTGTCTGAGGTCTTGTTCCTATGTTTCTGCTCCTACTTAATTAACTGTGAGCTCATACGTTTCAGCTCCTAACAAGGTTCAAGAATATCCAGCATTTTTCATAAAGCAAAGCACAACAAGGCACCTTGTTCCTCACTATTCCTTTTCTGTTATTAACTTATAAAACACACGTGGTGGAAACTGACCGTGGCTTAAGTTATAAAAGATCCACTGACACTGTTTTTCATAATCAAGTACATCACAGAAATATTTCACCACAAAAGTATTTCAATAAAAAGTTTCCTTCCAAAAACTATTTAACTTTAAAACTTTTAAAACAATAATAAACTAATAGTTCAAGCAATTATTTCCCACTATATTCTCCACAGCAAAATTAAGGGAATGTTTATAGAGATTTTCATATGAGATTATAAAAAGAACTCTATTTGAAGTACCTGATTCGGAGACTTGATTTGGCCAACTCACTGTGTTCAATTTCAGCCTTCTTCATATTAAATATTTTTTTAATCGCATTTGCATCCTGTCAATTAAAAGAATTTTTTTGTTTAAAGTGAAGAATGTTATAGTCAGGTATATCCATCTATCTAAAAATCTAAACCAAAAATGATAGGGTTTTTACATTTAGATATAAAACAATTTTGCATGAGAAATGAAGCACAGAACAAAGTCTGCCTGAAATACATCCACAGTTGCTTGTAAAAACTGAATAGAATAGCTGAGTAGCTTCAAGCTCATTTTTTGTCAAATCCTTAAAAAAAAGTAAAAAAAAAAAATCTACAATTTGCAAATATACACAAATGCCACTTCAAACTAAATAGGCAAATGAGCTTCTGTGCCTTTGCAATCAGAAAGTTACTACCATTACCGAGCTTTACAAAGCTTGCTCTCCCTCATTCTACACCCATGCACTCAATACTCAGAGTTAACAGTTCACAAAATAGAGATTACAAGTTTTGAGTGAGGTTACAAGGGTGAGTAATGTCACTAGGAACTGAAACTACAGTCCAACCAGAAGGGCAACTGGAAAAGTCCGTAACAGTGTTACACATATACAAGGTGTCTCATGACAAAGCTGTTAAGAAACGAGCACATGAAGAAGTAATTTACCACTGAAATTCTCTTACTTCCAGAGTACATGCAAACAGCAATGTGACAATTTGTACCCAAAATGCTCGTGAACTAAGTATGAAAAAGATGGGAGGTGCAACTTGGTCACAAAAATATGGCTACAAGGAAGAGGATCTTCAAAAACTACGCAAAGAAGGCATGACTCTGGTTTTGAAGCTTATGATGAAAACCATAAACAGTTCCTACAATTTGGAAAGAGATAACAGCTGAGTACTACCGCTATCACTTGGACCTGTAGTTTCAGCCATTTCAACTTCAATCACAAGTACAGGGATCCTCCGTTCCTCCAAAGCAGCATGTAACTCATATCACGAGATAAAATTTAATTGGGAAAAAATCATATAGCTCAAGGAAAAAAAAAAAGTTACATACACCCCAATTATACTAAAACCAATATAAGAAAAGGAAAAGCCACTAACAGTTATTTTTTTAAAAAATTCAAACACAGTCTTTAGAGCCTTATGCAAAATACACCTTGAGGATCAATAAGCACAGAAAGTAATAAAGAAAATCTGACTCAAATGAAACTACGGACAACTGAAACTAACCTTGAATACTTGTGATCCAGGCTCATTGTAGGTTTTGGCATTCTTCGCTAGAAGATCTATATCCTTGGCCATTGCATGAATGCTTTTATAAGTTCCATTCTATACAACAAACAACCAAACTGGTTAAAGCAGCAACCTTCAGATAGCATAAGAACTAAGTCAACAGTGAAAAGCAAAGGCAATTCACATAGAATAAAGGGAACATTTATAGAAAAACAAAAACATATTTATAAAGAGGACAGATAAGTATCTGGAAAAAGTCATCAAAAAAGAAAGCAACAAACTTAAGTGCTAAGTCCTTATAGAGCTTACAAGTGCTAAGTAAAAGATTGAAAAAACATCTAACACATTAGATTATCTTAATTTTTAAGGGTTCTGACAAAACGTTTTTTACCTTTATTCTCTAGTTCAACTAGTGTATGTGCTATCCCTCATTATCATACAAAATGCAAGAATTACAGAACAGTACTTCAAATTACTGGAGAAGATGAAAAATGCATCAGTGCAAAACATCTATTTATAGCACTAGTACAAAAGCAGGTGATGATAATGCAAGACTGAGCTTCAATACTTCAATGTTTTACATTAGCAGTACTTGCCAAGGTACTACTTTAAACCATTAAACATCAAGGAACCCAAGATATTCAGGCTCAGTGCCAGCACACTACAGTTTACGATGCTTGATCTTCAACGTAGCTACATCTGCAGCATTAATCCAGGACAGCACATTAAATCAGCGTAGTGTTCAGATTTTTAAATAGCACGGGAAAAACACATTGCCTTTCCTACCGCCATAAACTGTGGTTTCTAACAATTTTAGAATGCTTACTGTTAATCAAGTCTATACTCTGACACATTAATATGCTCATACTGTACCTGTATCCTTTGGGCAATAGTTTTAAGATCTATGGGCTCCTTTATTATTGCATAATAATCTGGATATTGCTGGAAAACAAAAATAATTTATATATTACTATAAACAGCCACAAAGCTATTGTTTTAATAACTCACAGAATGAGCTATTAGATGAATTGGAGATAAGAACAGTGTAAGCTTCATAAACATAGCTCTAGGCTTCAATTTGGGTGAGCCAGATCATAAGGTAGATAGAAGGAATTACAATTCGTCAATAAACTCATATAAAGGAACAGTTCTGTCTGAAAGCCAAATATGTGGTGATGGTCTTCAAAGTATTTATTTTGCTGGTTAAACTTGTTACACTACACCCTGAAACAGAACGGTGAAATCAGACATATTTAAAAAGATTAAAAACTCTGCACCAAAAAACCCCAATTACCTAAACTGGCAGAACTAGGCAAGCCCCAATCTGCAATGAACGGCTGGGAATGAGTGGGTAGGAGCAAAGAAGGGAAGGAAGCTCTAAAACCAGCTGGGGTTTGCCCCTCATGAGACAGTAACAAAGAACTGCATCCCAAGTGTGCCCATCATAGTGTATAACATCAGTTATATAAATGTCCATGTTTTCAACTTAGAACACAACCAACATTACTAAAATACTCACCACTTTAGAAGGAAGTTTCTGAAACAGCTCACTTATGAGGCGTCCTGATGGGTTTGTGGCAACAGCTACAGCTTCAAGGAGCTGTTCAAGAATTTCCTTCAGGTAACCTGGAGATGACTAATGTAAGAAACGAAAATCACAAGAAGTTTTAATAGCAGCCACAGTGGAGTGCTTCAAGTTGCACTAAAATACATGAATTTACTTTTCAAAGTCAGAAAAAGTCAGCTATAAAACACGGATGCAACTTTTGAAAACAACATTGTGTATGCATTTAGGTAAAGCACATGAGAAAACTTTCATTTCACATTTACACTGCGGACCGTCAGACATACATCACATATTGTTAGAACAGACTTGGTTGTCAATATTAGTGAAAACATGCATCCCAACATCACGAAAACCAGACAAAGCCAAACCTCCTATCATCATATTTGGCTTACAAAACACTCCAGGAACAGCTGTATTAACTGAATGGGACACTCATTGGAAAATGATGTCATTAGACATTAAGCTTGCTTGCATCAAACCTCAATGTTGGCATGATATCAAGCACACAACATACTTGTTTCAACTAAACCAGAACCGCATTTTATCCATATCAGAAGACCTCAGAACTTTTTTTTTTGCTAGGCAAAAGGGAAACACATATACAATCATGTGACATTATTAACTAATAAACCTGTATAAGAAATACCTTTTGGGGGGAAATTTAACTATGAAAAAAGACTTAATGCTTTTTCACATACAGAAGCCAATCTCCCTCTCAGAGTCAGCTGTCATACGCAGCCATGGTTTCCTCCAACTGCAGCTGTCATGCCCACACTTACTAATTCAGAATTTGCGCCTTGATTGTCATGTCCTTCCTCATCTTCGTCTTCCTCCTCAGCATCACCTTTTTGAACAAATTCATTTTTTGTGCGCAAATACAACTCCCATAATTTGCAGGCAGCTTTATATTCAGGAGAATCAGGCTGCAAAACCAAATCAAATATTTTACTCAAAACTCAGATCATTCTTATCTGAAGGAAATTTATAAATTATTGGTTGAAAGGTATTACATGCATTAAATAACAGAAAACCTGGGAAATTCCTGCTTCAGTCATTCTTCAACAGAGATGTTAAGAATCACAGTAAGCACTAGAAAATGCAACATCTATCACTCCAAAGCATCGAAGTCCTTCAGAAAACTTAGCAATAAAATTACTTGGATTGAGGCTTGGACAAGCTTATTAGATGAATCTGGAGAAATCATTAGGTTTTGTTGAAGCATAACACTACCAAATAGACTAAATATCAGTATGCCAAAAATGTTATTTATGCCAATACTGTTGCATTGTGTAGCACTCTAAAATTAATTTCTACAGAAGAAGAATGCCAATGACTGTGCCAGTATCTTTGAAAGCACTGCAATGATTTACACTCAGCATTAACTGTGGAATTCCAAAGAACTTGACAACATGCTATCACCTGGGTACACATCTAGGTACATTTTTTGGAAGAGCTAGAAGCATTAGTCAGCAAATTAAGTTTTGTAAATACAGAGTTGGTAGTGGCAGACAAGCATGTGCCTATTAACATTACTACTTAAGAACATTACCACTTAAGAACATTACCCAGAAAAAAGACTGCTTTTCTACTCTTACACACATTTTTCTTTCCCTTTCCTCTGTCACTTAACCTCTATTTCAGGTATTCCTGCAGATATGCCACCTTATTACTGCTGAGTATGCTCTTCTTACTTCACTCTCTCAACCTCTGGCAGCTTGTAATACAAATGAGAAACCAACATGAGAACTATTCTTAAGCTTACCTTATTAGGCTTAAATATTCTCAAGACATTAGACCAGCTGTCCTTTATGAGGAACAGATTTAAAGGGTATTCTGCTCCACTAGTCTGCTTCTTTCTATATTAATGTAAGCTGCTAAAAAGTGTAAGACTTGAACCGAAATACTAAAAACCCAAAGGTTTCCATTCTAATCTAACATTGTCAATAGAACACCTGCTGCAATGACAACTTTGACAATGAATCAGCCATCCTTCTTTTATAAGCGTCATTGGAACTGCATGGGTAAGATAAAAGATGAAAAAAGAAGAGGTTATGTTTGTGTGCCAAACCTCCAGGTCACAACTCCATATTTCTCTGGAAATGTCAACATTCCTTCATCCTAGAATGCTGGCTACCTATTTCAATTCTACATGCAAGATTTTTATGATACAGGCATAATTTTGAGTCTGTTATTCTGTAGGCAAAGGCAGGCACACATTCTGTAAAATTGTAATCACTCTCTCTGCCATGAAGTCCTTCTCCCTCATGTAGAAACCATGAAAAAGCCAACATTAATACGTGAGTGCCTTGCGAAGCTTCAGGAGCACACAACAAATCTGGAAATCTTTGTACCTTTTCTGCTGTAATCAGAATGTGCAAATGCATTAATCCATAAATCTGACTGTTTTTCAAAATGCTACACATACACGAACATAAACAAAATAAACACTGCTTTTCTGAATGTCACCTGGTTACACTGGCTGGGTTATTTAGAAAGCAGTCATTTGGATCATCTCCAAAGTCAAAGATACATGAAAGATAATATTAGCAGTTTTAGAGTTGCTGTATCATCTGAGTCACTACATACAATTTCACTGTTTTATGTATTTAACATAGCCCTCCATTAAACTAGATTAATCCAATTTTTTCCCACTTCCTTATGGCAACTTCAATAAAAAACATTAACACCTAAAATAAAACATATACCCAGTTTGGGGGAATGGACATGAGGGTTGCAGCCTTGATGAAATACATCATCATGTACTCTTACAATCTGTGATCACTGACTATGATAATGAATGTGCCTGTTTTTCATATTACTAAGTGGCCAACGGAAGAGAAAAATTCAACACTCCTACTGTATGCCTGCTGTTATTTATAAACTCTTCCTTTTGAGGAAAAAATAATCTTTGGAAGGCTTTGATAGAAGAGTATTTTTCTCAGTTACACCTCTATTTCTGCTTTCTATCTCTTTTGGAAAAAGAGATCCATGAAGATCCTCCCCACATTATTTTATAGTTTTCCACAGAAAAATTGCTATAGTAGGACATCTGACAAAGACATGGTCAACCTTATGAAAATATATGCAAATAACTGCAACGTGCACTGTTGTCTTACCAATAATAAAAGTTAAACTGAAAAGTTCTTTGGTCAAACCAAGGAAGAATTTGAACATATCTCTACCACTTCTACAATTAATTTGAGCCTACATATGTATTTTCCTCACCTTATAGTAAGCCTTCGCGTTGTTAAAGAGAAGTTGAAAATCAGCAGTCAGCACATTTACATCATCATATTCCTCCATCTTTAGCTTTTGTTGGATTTTCATTAAATCAATTGGCTGAGAAACCACTTCATAATAATCTGGCTGATTTCTGTTGCAATGACAAAAACAGGCATTATATTCCCAACAGTAAAACCAAAATGACAGCACTGAAGTTTGTATGTGTCTATTACTAAATAAAACAAAAAAAGTTCCAATACATTTTTGTTACAGCTAAAAGATCTGGACAGTGGCTTATTAGTAGGCTTACTTCATTACATGCTCTGTTATCATCCTCAGTTTTCTGAGTTTAAGATAAAATTCAGTCTTCTGCTTTATCTACTGCGTTTTCAAGGGTCACTTCTATTAATCTTCCCAAGATGTGCCCTTAGTATTACATTCCACCATGGAATATTTTATAGTCAAAGGCATAGATGTTTTAGGCAGGTGTCACAAGAAACATTTGAAATTATTTCATTGTATCCTTTCTTGACTGAAAAAGGGCACCAATGATCTCATGTCCCATTGAATAACTACATCAAATACTCAGATCAAACACTGGTGTGAAAGTATGACAAATCTAGCTTAAATTTTTCACAGCTACTGATGTTGAAGTATTTCTCAATATCCACTTACTCCCTAATTAAACCTCAGGTTCGAGGCTTAATCAGAAAAATGGTCTTACCTTCGCTTCGGTGCCCTAATGAAAAGCTCACAAAGGAGCCTGCCTTGTTCATCTTTGTAATCTCTGATGGTGTTGTAAAGTTCATGGCATACAGCAATCTAAAATGCAAGAAAAATAAAGTAAAGAAAAAGGAGAAAATTTTAAGGAGGTAACAAATCAAACCCTGCTTACAGTGGGAAAGACAACCTGCAAATCCACAGCATGCTCTAAAGCAGAAGTGTGAAGAAATTGGTGCATCTCGTACATAAGTATGATACCTGACAAGTATGCCAGGTACTGCAGAATTTTAATTTATTTTTTTGAACGTAGGAAGTTTTCTTTCAATGCTAATTCCAAGTAAAACACCCAAAATGTAAATTAATTCAGCACAATTCTCTCTGAGTTACAGACATCTAAAATGACCACGGGGGTTCTTCTGCCCTGCAATTAATTAAAATTAGACTGCTAACTCAAAGGCATAACAGAAACGTTGTACACTTCAGCAATCACTGCCGTTCCCCACTTATCCCTCTCTGCATTTGCTAACCAGACACAGCTCTCAACTTATTCACGTTATGATTTCAGCTCCTTCTTCAACATCCTTCCATCTGCTAAAATCATCAGCAAAAAAAGAAAAGTAGCAAAAGGAAAATAGGAAAGAAAAAGATGAAACTGAGGAGACAAGAACAGCCAAAGCTGAATGAGATCCTAAACAAACCTTAGCCAAGGCAGCAACAGCCTCTAGGCCAGTGTACATGTGCTACATATGATCATCCATTTTACAATCCAGCATTTCCCAGACAGGTATACAATATCCCAAAGAAAAAAAGTTGTACATAATCAGAAGGTACTAACAGGATCTACAGTTGGGAGATTGGAAAGTCTCCTCCTCTTTCTGCTTGGGCCTGGTATATTCGTGGAGTGGTGGCCGTCATCAAAGTCTCCTCCGCTGACGCTGCTGGAAGGCGAGGTAGCTCTTCGCCTCTTGGAACCCATGGAATCCAACTTCTTCTATAATGAACAGAGATGTTCTTAAACTCATGGCATTGCATCCAAACTCTCTGGTGAGAGCTAACTACAAAGCTAGCAATGCTCAGGATAACTCACATATGTTTGTTGTATATTACAGTTCAGTTAAGCCATATATCTAAACACCAACTTTTTGAAAATTGGCAAGAGTAAAGGGAAATCAAAACGGTCCTACAGTTTCATAGTCACTGATGACAGCAACATCAGAAAGCCTAGGGCTCACAGTGATGAAGATGAATTTAGCAGCTCTTATTAGGATATGTTCTTAAACCATCTCCATTTTGGTATCTCGTCCCATGCATGATAACTAAGTGAGAACTGCTGTTTTAAAGGGAAAAGCTGTATGGAGACATGTGCCCAGTTCTGGTGTAAGAGCATACCATTCCATGTCAAATTAAAAAACAAACAAACAAACAAAAAAAAAAACACAAAAAACAACCAAACCAACAAACAAACAAAAACCACAAAGAAAACAAATTACAAACCAAAAAAATCAAATGGCTACTGAATACCTTGTCTTAGCTTCAAGCTAAAAAATGGTCTGGACCATTGTGTGACCTACCACTCCCACTCTATGTGTAGGATGAATAGCTCAATCATCAAGAAAAGAAAAAGTCACCTCCTTTTTTGGCCATATTTTTCCATTTACCAACACAAACAGTGACAAATGAATAACCAGCAACCAACAACTATGGTGATTTACAGAACAAGTTGTTGGCTCTTTCTCAACTTCAAGTGACAGCATCAGAAAAATATCTTTATTTGTAGCTGTCTCAAAGGCTGAAAACAGAATAGATCCATCTATCCCAGCCTATATCCATTTTCCAACCAAATGAAGGAATTTCTTCTTGGAAGCACTCAGTTGATTTACTAGGTATGGCAGCACAACATAACCGCATTAGAGTATTTATGTGAGAGACAGAATTAATTTCAAGCACACAAATGAGATGACTAAGATAAGAATAATTAACAGTTAGGACAAAGAAAAGCAAAAGCCTAAGGCAGAGGAATGGAGGGAATGGTGCACATACAATCAATAATTTACCAGATTTACCAGAGTACAACCAGCACCTCGAAAAGCCAGCCTCCTCATAGTGTCTGATGGCCAAGTACAGATACTGGGAGAACGTAACACTCTAAGAGTAGCAAACCAGCAACGGTGTTAGTACAGTCAAAACTGGAAGACAAGAAAAAGGAAAGAGAGAGAGAAGAAAATTGAGAGTAGATAGATAATTAAAGAATAAAATCAAAGAATACATTGAGTAATTACAGTGACGGAGAAAAAAAGCAAGAAACAGAAGGTAACTTTTTTTAGCCTAGCAGAAACTCTACAAAGTAATTTTGTACACAGAATGCTAGACGTTTCTGTCATTTTTACAGCAAAAACACATTTCCCTAATGTTCCTGAATACATATTACAGATTTCACAGCCGCTTGCTAGAGAATGATTCATCAAGCAGAGCAGGGAGTAAACATAAGCGATGTCTGACCGGAGAGTAAAAACCAGAAAACAGCAGAACTTAGAGAATGAAAAGTAGTACAGTGCTTATAACAATAAGAAAATAATATTTAAGGTCAAGAAACATTTAATAGACCTTCTAATGATGATGTACCTCCATCAGTCTTCAGAGTGGATTTTCACCCTCAGAAGTAAGCAACATTAAGCAGCCATACAGGTTCACTAAAGATATACCTCTTTCAATTTCTAAGCTGTCTCCAAGTCTGATTTTTTTCAGAAATTCCATGTGAAATGTACAGAACCATTTTATGGCAAAATGATTACTTCTGCTTAGTTCAACTACTGTCTTCAATCAAACCCCAGAGAGACTGTTTTCCTGTTCAGTATTCCAGACATTTTCATAACACACACATACAGAGAAACTCTGTGCTTTATTAGCAGGCAATTCATCTCAGGAATGGACAACCAGCCTGTTGCTTTTGGCACTGCCTCCAACTTTTATCTGAGAGCTACAGTATCGAATGGCTAACACCAGGCGTGCTGATGTGGAGGCTGCTAGAAAACACAAGTTCTTGATGGTGAAAGGCAGGAGGGGCTACTGGAATCAATAACTTGGTTCACCCAGGAACCTAAAAGTACACTCAGTCCAATCCCATCCCGAAATAAAGATTTGGGGACCCCTCAACCAGCACTTGCCTGCAAACTGCATATAGGCTTCTCCACATCTGTTATCTGAGACACGTATGCTGCAGCTCTCCGCCACACACAGGCACTGATGTACACTTGTACAATCAAGACACCTGGCCATTCTGTACACAGCCTCCAAAAAGATTTTTCTCCTCTAATAACCGAGGAAGGTGCAAAATACATATCGGTCTGAACAACATCATGAATACTCAGTGAGAGAACTGCTTACGTAAAACTCCTACTGAATGTCGGGCTCCAAAATGCAAACTTTTCTCTAGATCTCCATGCTCATAAATAGATAGTCCTAATGCACACAGAATGTATTCTGTTTTACTTAAGAACATGTCTTCTAGACTTTCTTCTGCAACGTAACTGCTAGCTCACAAGTCTCTCAACAGTCACAATCGGAATATCCACCGCTACAAACAAGCCATGTCCTGTGCAACAGGAGATCCAGCGTCTTCTTAATAATTGCTCACACCATCCATAAAAATGTCACATAACCATAGACATCTCTATAGGAAATGCTTTGGCCATTACTAGTATACATGTATACTAATGTATATAAAACAGGTGGAAGATCACCTCTCCTGAAAGCTGTACTAGACTGATCACCACAAGTATTACCCAGTCTAACCTCAGTAAATGAACAGTTTTTACACGCATTTGAGATAGAACACTTAAAGCAAGCCAATGAGGTTCTAGCACACATTTCATTTTCTGCCTCCAAGTACAAAAAAGCTAACAGCCGATAGATACCACAGAAAGTATTTTATCGTTATCAGCATCTCCCACGTTTCAACAGAAATACTCGCTAAAACATGGTAAATTTAGCAAACGGAACAAGGGAGGAAAGCAGCCAGAATTTCCCCCGATTACCGATCACATTGAAACCAGCTACAATGTAGGAAAAGGTGGATGGTAGCAACCAGACACTATAAAAGGACAAAGTTGGTAAAGAAGCGAAAGGCATAGCACGTCGATCGTTTTATAAGCAGTGGGCCAAGAAACAAACAGGCAAAACATGTAATTTCCCCAAACCGTCCCGCAGGCGGGCCCCTGCCTGCACCCAGCTCACACCCTGCCCGGTTTATGAGGTGTTATCGTGCGCGGGAGAAGAAGGAGACAAACAAAAACACCTTTTCAGGCACCGAGC